TTGAGAAATCGGAGTGCCAAGTTCGAATACCAGTCGAATCCATTACATTCACTTACGTGTTAATACCCTTCGGAAAGATATGAATCCTCTTCTCCCCCTCCCCTCTAGCTAAATAGCAGGACATACCGGGTTGTATAGCTTTGGATGGCAACTGTTCTATCGCAGAAAGCAATGGCAACCTACTGCGGGAAAAGAATCTGCCTCGTCAGTCATATATCGACAGATACATGATCGCTTAAGCGTGTTTCACGTATGGCACATAACTGACTGAACTGAGCAGTAGTAGTCACTGTTTAAAAACTCACTTTCTCCCTAACAAAAAACAGTCCTTGATATAATACAAGAGAGAAACATAACGATAAAACATTTTTAAATGTCTATGTTTATCGTCTCGCATTTTTACAACCTGAAAATAAAATATTTTTATCAAAAAGAGTAAACAAAACAGCAATTTTCATTAACAAATAACTTGTCTATAAAAACGCTCGATAATTATGCACCAACCCAATATATATATATATATATAGGTTTATATTTGAATTTGTAGGTCTGATGAATGGGATCGTATTTACGATTCCAATGGAATAAATTATAACAATGGAATATTAGTGTTTAAGCCTTTTTATTATATATATATATATATATATATATATATATATATAAATTCCCAAGAGGATAGAATCCAGGTAGACAAGTACAATCCTAACCTGTTCAAGGCTAGTGTTAACCGTTATTTTCCACTGCTATATATGGCATCCTAACGTAACCCTTTACCTTGAGTGGACCTCGGGCCTTGGGCCTTGTAAAGGGTGAGAAATAATGTAAAAAAAACAAAAAAAAAACAAGAGTACAACATTCATGCAAGGATTTCTATGAGTCTGAGAACTTTCGTATATTCTTTCATCCATTATCAAAGATGTTTTTAACACCCACACACACAAACACGCGCACACATACACACCGCGCACACACACACGTTTTTAAACAATTTTTATTATGAAAAAAGAAACATAACAATACAACAATAACATTTTTAAATGTCTATGTTTATCGTCTCGCATTTTTACAACCTGAAAATAAAATATTTTTATCAAAAAGAGTAAACAAAACAGCAATTTTCATTAACAAATAACTCGCCTATAAAAACGCTTGATAATTATGCACTAACCCAATATATATATATATATTTATTAAAGACATTTTTATTTATGTTTAACGTTTTTATTTTTTATAGATCAGAAAAATTTCTCAAACATTTCAGGCCGATAAATGTTATTAAATACTGTTTAAATAAAAAGAATTTCTTAAATACTTTTCTATAAAAATATTCGTTCATAAATAAAATGTCGAACCTAAATAAATATACGGAACCGTCCATTTCTTAACATATGACGTCATTTGTTTACATTCGATACGCCAGAACAGTTATGAATGTACGAGATTCATGGAAGATTTAGTTTATAACAGTAAAATCTGACCTTCTCGTACATTCATAAGGTTCATGGTGGTGAGTGGTCAAGTAACGCAAATGTATATGGCGGTTCCGTATATGGATGCAGGTTCGACAATTTATTTATGAACGAATTTTTTCTTTGAAAATTTTGGATTTTTCAGATACAAGTAAATGTTATTTGCTCTGTTTATCATAAAACAGAGCATTTGCTTAAATACTTGTATCTATAAAAATTTCAACGTTAAACATAAATAAAAATGTCTTTAATAAATAAATTGTCGGACCTCGTCCATTTCTTAACATATATATATATATATATATATTGATAATATTAGTGGTAAATATACATATACAATCATATATCTCAAATATATAAACATTCGTCCCACACTCTCACTAAATTTTATTTTTATTCCCGGATTTGTTTTTTCTGTTTTCTTTTTGAATTTGTAGGTCTGATGAATTGGATCGTATTTACGATTCCAATGGAATAAATTATGACCATGGAATATTTGTATTTAAGCCTTTTTATTAAAATATATATATATATATATATATATATATATATATATATATATATATATATATATTATAAATTAATTGATTTAAAATATGGTTTTTATCGCTACACAGTTCTAACCATCTTTCAAAATAGAAGCAAAAAGCTACGAATTTAATTTTGTAATTAAATTAAAGACATTAGTTCCATTTCATCCTCAAGCAAATTTTAGAGTAACTTTTAAAATTACTGGGTTTTTAAAGACACAGCTAAAATCATAATTCATGTTTCCAAGGATACAGATAAATCCACTTCCACTAGAGACAAGATTATATATCTTACTGTTCATTCTTCATATATATATATATATATATATATATATATATATATATATATATATATATATATATATATACCTAATAATAATGTTGGTGTGACCATATATATAAGAATATATATGAAATTATATACTAGAAATATATATAATAATTAGTACAGACACTATATTAAATAATTGTTGGATTGAATCCGTTCCAATATATATATATATATATATATATAAGAGATCGCACATAGAATGCTAGTGTGAATAAAATAGTGGTCGATGTAATAAAACAGAGCTATTATGTATATATTAATAAATATACTTATTATTCTTCACCGGTAACACGAATCGGAGCTCCATGCACAACACAATCTTCAATTGCTGACTATAGACTATATTCTGTACCTGAAGATTGTGCTGTGCATGAAACTCCGAGTCGTGCTATCGGTATTTGATAATATGTCCATATATATATATATATATATATATATATCGAAGTTTGTATTTAGCCAAATATAATAGATAAAATTACAGTCAGAGTAATTCTGGAAGATAAAGATTTTAAGGTGAGCAGTCTTTGTAATTAGTAATGAAAATAAAGGAAAAGGGATCCCTTAAAAAGTTAAAATCAAAGAACCAGCCGCTAAACATGAATCCCGTTTTTGTCTCACTGCTCATTGTCCCACCTTGAGGCACACTGCTAACGAGACAGTCATGTTCACACTGTAACAGCAGTAAGAAAACCTGTGCTATCAAGCTCAAACTTCGATCACGTGATCACAATAGTATAAATTATAAGCACGCACGAGCTGAATTCAGTGGGAAAACTTAAAGCTATTTTATAGCGAAAATTCGAATAATTTTTTACTTACCCTAGTATGTTACAAAAATGTTATATCTGCCAGGCAATCTTAATTTATTTGGGAAGGATATTAGAATACAGAAATTAGATTGAGAGCAAGCAGCCTGCATGAGAATAGAAAATTACACCAAAATAGAAAGAAGCGTGCGACAAGGATGTGTCATCTCACCGGACTTATTTAATCATGCACACTGCTACGCGGTACTTCGTCGTCGTCGTCGTCGTCGTCGTCCGTCCGTTCGTCCGTCTCCCGAGAGACGATGGAGTAGCGCGGTGCGCTACGGCCCTGGGTGGGATATAGGGAGAACTAGGGCTGCCCAGACATCTAGTTCCCCCTCTCAGCCTTGCTAACAGAGTCCAAAGGAGAGGATAAACCAATATAGTTTGGTACCAGTTGCAGGAGTTGCCGGAAGGTAGCGCAAAGTGCCGTCCATCCGCCTTAGGGGCTTCATCTGGGTTTGAATTCAGAGTTGTCTTTCTCCTAGACCAGTTGCCATCCAAGTTGGAAAGCATTTTTCGCGATCTCAATGTACCTTTTCATTTGTTTCTAACGAAATCCTCCTGTTTCTTAATACTTTGCTTAGCTTTTGCAAGGCATCTTTCGATATTCTAATGTGAGTTTCTCTTTGTTTCTAATGAAATTCTCCTGTTTCTTAATACTTTGCTTAGTATTTGCAAGGCATCTTTCGCTATCCCAATGTGCCTTTTCCTTTGTTTCTAACGAAATTTTCCTGTTTCTTAATACTTTGCTTAGCGTTTGGAAGGCATGTTCGCTATCCCAATGTGCCTTTTCCTTTGTTTCTAACGAAATTCTACTGTTTCTTAATACATTCCTTAGCATTTGGAAGGCTACTTTGACTATCCTAATGTGTTTTTCTTTGTGTCTAACGAAATTCTCCTGTTTCTTAATACCTTGCTTAGCTTTTGCAAGGCATCTTTCGCTATTCTAATACACCTTCAAATTTCGTTGTGCATTTTTCGTCATCTGTTAAAACACGTCCCATATATTTAAATTGCTGTACTTGCTGGATTTTGACGTCTCCAATTTGTAATTTGCATGTTGCTCTGCCCCTCTTGCTGACAACCATATATTCTGTCTTTTTACAACTGATGTTCTTTTTACTTTACTTCCTTCTGTCAGAGTTGCATAATTTCCTTTTCTGAAAGTGACCTACTCTTTAACTCGTAACTGAAGTGAGAAGCTGGTTTCATACATTTCGCAAAGGTAGCTGCAGTTTGGGGGAATATAAAAAACTCATCTGTAATTAAAACTCGGTTCTCCAATGTTGCATTCAGAGCCGCTATCTATTACACCACCCCCGCATCCAGTACACAATTATATGAATAAACAAATAATATATATATATATATATATATAGAGAGAGAGAGAGAGAGAGAGAAAGAGAGAGAGAGAGAGAGATATGATTAAATAGAGAGTTAATTTTGAAACATACAATTATTTTTTTAGAATTATGTTCCTCTCGCTGTCGAAGCCAAGTGGCTTTGTATTTCTAATAAAACAATGGCGGACTGTTCGAATTTACGAAGCCCTGACTGAAAAGATCTTCTCCGTGAAAGAAGAGACTTCAGCAATATATATATATATATAAAAGATATTTTTTTGTTTATACGTTCTTTTCATAGATACAAATAATTAAGTAAATGCTCTGTTTATAATAAGCAGTATTAACATTTACCGGCTTGAATGTCCGAGAAATTTTCGTAGAAAATATACGTCCTCCGACAGGAATCGAACCCGCATCCTATACCGAACCATCATATAGCCTGATGTGCTTTACCGATTTAGCCAAAGAGGAGCATTTCGGTTAACAAGGTCAATTTTAATTTCTTAACATATTTTCTAATAATTCGGCGGATATATAAATTTAAATAGATAGATAGATAGATAGATATTAGCTAGATGGACAGATAGATATGGAAAGATATGAACGGTCTTAGATAAACAGACAGTGATAGATAGATAGATAGATAGATAGATAGATAGATAGATAGATAGATAGATAGATGTATTTAAAATTTTTGTGGTGGAGTTTCTGTAACCTGTTTCATCGGTTAGGACATCATCGAGCTGGATTTGTTGTTGTTTTGACTGCACATGCGCAGGAACGAGAGACGCTGGTAGTTCAAAATTTTTGAATGAATAGATAGATAGATAGATAGATAGATAGATAGATAGATAGATAGATAGATAGATTTTTAAAAGTATCTTCAAGAATTTGAGTGAAATATTTAAATCCGAATCATATTTCACATATGCCGACCGAAAAGACAGCCGACCATAAACTTTCAACATGACATTTGTAAAACAGACATTTTAAATTTCCCAGTGAAAAATAAACGGATCTTTTTTTACAGAATACAACTTAATTGTTGCTACAGTTTACTTTCGATTCTTCTAAAATATCCAGGAATCATTTCCTTTGATATACTACAAGGCAGAATATGTATTCGCTATCTATATGCCCCTTTAAATATCTACATTAGAACATAACCGATCCGTAAAATGCTATTGCGAATAAAAGAATATTGTAAAATACACTGAATAAAAACTGGAAGGCAATCAGACACCTCATATATATATATATATATATATATCCCCACCCCCTTTTTCTTTTCTTTTCCTCTCCCTCTCTCATCTTCTGATCTTTAAGATTATATCGTCTATTGTGTGTGTATGTCACATATTTTCCGGTTACATCTTTAATGTATTAGACATCCGAGAATATGCATATTTCTCTCACTTAAACTGTTTTAACTCCCCTCTTTAAAATTTCTCTCTGTTAAATTTTAATCCCCTTTATCTTTAGACCTTTCTGTTCTTCTCTCTCGTTAACCCCTCCCTCCCTGTAGCTTTCATTTACTCTAACATTCGTCCCAGGAATCATACATACACTCTCACTAAATTTTATTTTTTATTTCCGGAGTTGTTTTTTTCTGTTTTCTTTTTGAATTTGTAGGTCTGATGAATTGGATCGTATTAACGATTCTAATGGAATAAATTATGACCATGGAATATTAGTATTTAAGCCTTTTTATTTCCTAGACAAGAAATTAAAAATGCATGTGCCGCAATGCCATTGGATGTTTTGGCCAACATTGCCTAAGCAGTTCACCGTAACAAGGGACCACCATTTTGAGCATTTCTTTTGATTGTAAAGTTCAAAGGTCAGTGAATGTCTGAATAAATCGAGTATTGCAAAATCCAAACAATTTTTCAGTAAAAGAAACGAAACTTAAGTCGCACATCAAAACTTAGGTATAAATATATATATATATATATATATATATATATATATATATATATATATATATATATATATATATATATATTTTCTTAGCCTTGAGCGGGTAGAATGGAGATCAACGTGTTTTAGTGGACGCAGCAGTTTTCAATCTGCTTTTCTGAATCGTCTTCAAGAGTCGGGAGCAAGATCTAAAAGGTCAGCCAATCTAACAGTGATCTCATCCCATGATCCTCACTCTTGCTCCATATGCGGCCTCCTTTGTAAATCACTAGCGGGTCTTAAGTGCCACTTAAGATTATCGCACAAAATTTCATAACTGAATCAATTAAGCTGTCAGATCCTCATACGTCGAAACCGACGGGAGAGTAATTTATCTCTATATATATATATGTATATATATGTAAATATATATAATGAATTACACACACACACACACACACACATATATATATATATATATATATATATACATATATATATATATATATATATATATACATATATATATATGCGAAAAAAACTATGACAAAGTGAAAAATTCTCCAATATATATGTGTGTGTGTATCTGTGGGTGCGCGAGTGTGTGTGTGTGCGTGTGTGTGTGTAAATAGTCAGATGAAAATAAAATATATCTGTAAAAAGATGATGTGAATAAAGACAAAAGTAAAACGTTTTCTCGCGAACTCGTTTACAAAATGAATAAATATATAAGTAAATAATTTATCAAATTAAAATAAACTAATAAATAATATTTACATTTATAAAAAATAAATATAAACAAATAAGTAATTAAAAGACTTCAAATAACAATTACTTTTGTTTATTAGGCATTAAATTACATTACTTTTTTGAACTGTAGTGTGTATATATATATATATATATATATATATATATATATATATATATATATATATATATAGTTTATGCAAACTTAGGTAATCCGTATGGGTAGACCTGAGGAGGATGATATCCAGAGAGCTCAATGTAAAATTCAGAGCAGATATGTTTGAATAAAAACAGACCACGTTAAGATTCCATGTAATAAGTTATTCCATATGGGTAAACCCTATATAGCTTATTACATGGAATCTTAACGTGGTCTGTTTTTATTCAAACAAATATATATATATATATATATATATATATATATATATATATATATATATGTGTGTGTGTGTGTGTGTGTGTGTGTGTGTGTGTGTGTGTGTGTCAGGTAAAGTTGTCAGATGAAATTGAATTCAAAAATCCTTCATAGTTACATTGACTTTTTGCAATTAGGGTTTATTGAGCGTTGCCGAATGGATAGAACGTTCGCATTCTACCCGTAAGACCCGCTTTCGAATCTCACCAAGGAGACTTTCTGACGGTATCGGACTGGATCGCAGCGTGGTGTAGCACGGGCTGAACCAAGCCTTGTAAGTGAAATTGGGTTGTACTAGCACGATGTCATCATGGCCGAGTACCTTGTTCTATTGTTGATCACACTAAATATTATGCTGCAAAATGAAATCTTTACATTTCACTTGATAATGTACAAAAGAGGAAAGAAACATGTTGGTAAAATTCTTTTTCCTTTTATCATATTCCATATATTCTGGCAGCGCATATATATATATTTAAAACAACATGCCTGCCCGCACACACAATTCCGTAAAATACTTGTCGAAAACACAACTATACTTCGACATGAAAACAATAGACAAAAACTAAAAATACTTGAAGCATTATACATCAAACAGTTAAAACCCAACCTAAACAAAATCAACTATGGAATCTCTACAAATATTCTTAAATGTCTATAATTTCTATAATTGGTAACAGAAGCCATTGATTATACCAACGGCTTTCCTTATTTCATTCTCCAATTCACTCTCGTGTAGTCATGTGTGACGTCATGAGATGCGGTGCGATTTTCGCTTCTAGCGTCTTATATGCGCGTGTTCATCGTTGCTTAGTGATCCACTATGTAAACTAAACAATGACAGACTATCATCACTGTCGTGTCCGTATATTGTTTGATATGTTTGTAATTACATCTTTGATAATGGCTTGAGTAAGCCGAAAGCTTAGATTATATTAAAAAAAATATGGATCAATATTGTGAATTTCTTTTTCGTTTAATGATAATGTTATCAAACTTATCAGAAGTTACGAAAAAATTTTACATAAAATAAATAGACAACACTTGTTTATATTATTTAATGAAACGTGTATATATATATATATATATATATATATATATATATATATATATATATATATATATATATTCATTTTTATATTTATGATTAAACAATTTTAGACATGTGCTTACTTATCTGCAAAGAATTTCTCTTACAGCATAAATTTTAAAGCCAGCTTTTGTGTCTTCTAAGCATGATCGGAACTGTGAATGTCTTAAACGGAAAAGTAAAACTTATTTCAGAAAAACAGAATCATTTGTCTTATCAATTAAAATCCTTATTGATGATACTGTAAAATATCGAAAGTACTCGGAAAAAATAAAGATAAATAAATATAAATAATTACAATTGTGAATATGCTCGTGAACGTAACGCCAATTTCCTAAAAAAAATTGTGTGTAAGGGTGGTAACTTAGTTAATAATTGAATTCTTAATAGAAGGTTATAATGTACTTGTTTTTAAAACCGCGATGATGATAGTGTAAAATATCGAAAGTACCCAGAACAAATAAAAATGAATAAATATAACCACAGTACCTATCTTGGCGTCTTTAATCATGAAACAAGAAAGCTTATAGGTAATTACGAAAGGATTTTATTGAAGATAAACACAATGTCTAAATTGTTTAATCAGAGAAGTTTAAATGAGAAGGTATATATATATATATTTTCATACTTAACACCTCTCTTCATTTTTTTCTCGCGTGGTCGTGTGACGTCATGAACCGCAATGTGATATTTACTTCCTGCGTTTCATATGCACAAATTTATTGTTGCATAGCAATCTTCCATGAACACAAACAAAATTACAATCTTTAATCTCCGACGATGGCTTATGTAAGCCAAAAGCTTAGAAAGTATTAAGAATAAAACATGTATAAAGATGGTGATTTTCTTTCGTCTTTCAATGATAATGTTATTAATGTATTTTTGGTAATAATTTTTTCCTTGAAAAATGTATTTCTGGTATTAATTTTTTTTTCCTTCAAAAATCTATTTCTGGTAATAGTTTTTTCCTTCAAAAATCTATTTCTGGTAATAATTTTTTAAAAAAATTATTGCTGGTAATATTTCTTTTCCTCAAAAATGTATTGCTGTTAATATTTTTTCTAAAACGTATTGTTGGTAATTTTTTTTTTTTTCAAAAATTTATTGCTGATAATAATTTTTTTTTTTTACAAAGTATTTCTGGTATTAAAACCCATTTTTACCCCAGTTTTGGGGTTAACTATTTGCCCATAGCTGGGACCCTAACAGGTGTTACCACCCCGAGTCGGGGTGGACCTGGGAACACCAGCAATTAAGAGGTGGTTTCACATTCCTCAAAACCTCCTGATCAGAGGCCTTGCTGCTGGACGTAGTTTATCGTCTTACCCAGGACGCGGATGTAGTTTATCCTCATACCCAGGACGGTTTCTCTTGATGGTTCTTGAACGGACTTTGAAGATGGAAGCCAAAGTATGAATGTTCGTACCGTTACTGAAGACCTGAATGATCTTTTTCCTCTCACTATTGCTCAGTTGGCAAGTCAGTGGGGCTGACAGGATGCGTTTTTAACTTGTTCTCTTTCTAGCTAAATAACTCAAAGGGTTTTTTAAGTGATTCTGATGACAAATAGTGCCAAAAATGGCCTGAACGTCTATTTTAAAAATGTGTTAGAAAAAAAAAAAAAAAAAATTTTCTTTTTATTTAAAACATAATCAAAAAATGAAATGTGCATAATTTATATTATTTTTTAGAAGTCAATTGATTTTTTTCTTTTCTTTCTTTCTAAAATTTTCTTTTTTTCTTTCTTTTTTTTTCTCTCATCTTTTTCTCCATCTCTCTCTCCCACTCGTTATCTCTCGCTGACTCTGAATCTTTTC